GCGATTCTACATCGCTGAAATTGTTCTGGCGATCGAGGCAGTCCATAATCTCGGTTTCATTCATCGGTACGTCCTCTCTAATCCCCCCATCATAGACATGTCTTTGCTCACATATCTTGCAGCGATATAAAGCCGGACAACATCCTCCTTGACCGCGGGGGCCATGTCAAACTGACCGATTTCGGTCTTTCCACGGGCTTCCACAAGCTCCACGACAACAACTACTACCAACAGTTGCTGAAGGGGAAGTCCAGCAAGCCAAGAGGAGACAGGAACTCCATTGCAATTGACCAAATCAACCTGACTGTGAGCAACCGAGGCGTTATCAACGATTGGCGGCGATCACGTCGGTTGATGGCATACTCAACCGTTGGCACGCCCGACTACATCGCCCCCGAGATCTTTACACAAAACGGCTACTCGTTTGACTGCGACTGGTGGTCCCTTGGGACTATCATGTTTGAGTGCCTCATTGGCTGGCCACCGTTCTGCGCCGAGGACAGCCACGATACCTACCGGAAGATCGTGAACTGGCGTCAATCGTTGTACTTCCCTGATGACATACCGCTCGGTGCCGAGGCGGAGAACCTCATCCGCAGGTATGATTGTCGATCCTCTTATTCATGATGTCTGGATACTTATCACCTGGCTTTAGTCTCATCTGCAACTCCGAGAATCGTCTTGGTCGGGGCGGTGCCCACGAGATCAAGAGCCACTCCTTCTTCCGGGGCGTCGAGTTCGACAGCTTGCGCAGAATCCGAGCACCGTTCGAGCCGCGTCTGACCTCCGCCATTGATACCACATACTTCCCGACGGACGAGATCGACCAGACGGACAACGCCACTCTGCTCAAGGCAGCCCAGCAGGCTAGAGGCACTCCTGGTGGCCAAGTGCCGACAGCGCAGGAGGAGAGTCCCGAGATGAGCCTTCCGTTCATTGGATACACCTTCAAGCGGTTTGATAATAACTTCCGATGATGTGTGTCCCATGCGACTCTCTATGTGCTGTCAGAGGCGCTCATGTCCTATCGTGGCTATAAGTCTGCTATTTGGGGGCTACTTGCTTTCCGCGTGTCTTGGCTTATTCGAAGGCTCGTGTTCAAGTGGCGAACTTCTCAGACTAACTACTGTCCTTGAGAGGCACTCTGCTTGGCGTTGTCCCGACCCTACACATGGCCAGACCACCTGTTTTCTCGCAACGCGAAACGCGTCTTATTGTTTGTTGACGGCCTATTTGCATGAGGTGGAAAGAGTCTAAGGAGCTGTGTTGGCAAGGCATCGAAGATAAGACTAGGACTTTTGACAAGGGAACATGGGACAAGTGTTTCTTCTTGGTCTGCTTGACGTCAGTCGCTGGGATATTGTGCGAAAACTTGTGTGCGTTCCTTCAAGATGCATGGGAATAGGATGCGGGGCCACGTTTGGTGTGCTTTTATATTCCATTTCCAGCGCCGCAGGAAAGGATCTGCTGAGATTTCAAGCATGGAACTAGACTCCTAGCTAGACTTGTGGTTACTCCAAAGACTCGTCGTATGGATTGCATTGAAACGAACTATGAACACAAATCACGGGAGCATGGCAGGTGAAGTAAAGGGTATCAATTATGGCTCAATCTTGCCTTAACCGTGCTTGACGTCTTTCTAGCTCCGCATGCTGAATCCAGAGAACGCCACCATAACTCCGCTGGGAGACTATTCCTCAAGATCTTGGGCTGCCTTATTCGAGAGTGCTGCTCTGCTCTCATGTCGCCAGTCATTATCGGCATTGCCAGTTTGCTCCACTCCATCTGGCACAGTTCGCCTCTCTCTTCAACCGCTTCCAATATGCTGCCTACACCGAATGTCGACAAGCCTATACCCAGCACCAAACTGGGGCATCATCAAAGAACCGCAGCAGCCGCAAGTGGCAGTTCCCAAGACCCTTTTTCATACACTCCATCTCTCCTTATCACCTCCTCCCCGTCAACCCAGGCGCAGCATTGAACCTCTCCTCCCGCTCCGTCATAAACATGACCTGTATCCAAAACTCCTTCGCGTCCGGGTCCCAAAAGCTAAACTGCTTCTCCTCCCTCTTATCCAGCTCCCTGGCCGGGATCTTGAACCCGCAAGTCTCGTACGGCTCGGCCGCCACGACCAGGTACTGGAAATTCCTGTCCGGCTCCTCGACGCGCTGCGTGAAGGCGCTCATGACCTGCCACTGCGGCGTCACGTCGGCCGAGATGTCGGGGTACTGCAGCTGGAAGAGCAGGCCCTGCTGCCGCGTGACGGGGTCCCGGATCTTTGTGATCTTGTAACCCGGCCGGCCGATCTTGACCACGTTCTTCTTGGCCTGCCCTAGGCCGAGGGCGCCGAAGCCGGCGCCGACTACGCCCACCGGCAGGCCGGTCTGCGGGTCGATGTTGCCTTTTCCTTCCTTCTGCTCGCGCGCGGCGCGGCGGGCGAGGTTGGTCTGGTGCTTCTTGCCCTGGGTGTGGGCGAGGTAGGAGCCGTCGTTCTGGTGGACTGTGAGGCACAGGCGGCACTCGAAGGAGCCGACGTGGTTGCGGAAGAAGTAAGGGTCCTTGTCGAGGTCGATGGTCTCGAGGGCGAGCTTGCGCAGGCGCTCGCGCCGGTCCGCGTTGGTTGCGCTGTGGGAGGCGACGCCGCCGCCGCCGAACTTGGAGCCGACGCGGTTTTGGTAGTCCATTTTTGGTCGCTTCTGGAGTTTCTTGGTGAAAGTTGCGTATGGTTCGTAGAGAATTGAAGCAAACTGCGGTGGCGGATGATTTCTGGGATGTAGAGGTGATGTTTGGAAGGCTATGGAGCGTAATAGATAAGATAAGAAGTCTGTGCTCCTGCGAAGTTAGCGTAGACTTAAGTCTAAGTACATTAGGTAAGGTAGGCACTAGAGGTACGATAAGAGGTTCTGATAAATCAGCAGTATAGATGCTGAACACATGACAAGAACACGACAAACACGATAATCACGACTCGGCCACAGAGCATCATCAGTAAGAACGAAGGCAACCTACAGAGTACGTCTTATTGAGCTTCCGTGGCAGGAGGAGCGACCAACTTGATATTGTAGCCTTCTAACTTCATCTCACGACACCTTTCTGCTTGAGCGCTTCTATCTGCTCGTCGCTGTACCCAAGGTGCTCCTTTAGAACTTCGTCAGTATGCTGACCTAGAGTCGGTGGCGCGCTGCGTATCCTTGGTTTCGTTTCAGAGTATTTGACCGGGGAGTTGACCAGCTTAAGCGGCCCACACTGCTCATGCTCGACTTCCACCACCATGTTCCTCGCTCTGGTGTGTTCGTGTGTGAGAGTCGCCAAAACGTCGTTGACTGCCGCATACGGCAATCCCTTACCTTCGAAGATCTCCAACCATTCCTGGGTTGTCTTCGTCTTCGTTATGGCCTCAATCTCGGCCTCCAGCTCATCTCGATGAGCCACACGTTGGGCGTTGATCTTGAACTTCGGGTCGTCTTTCCACTCTGGCCGTCCCAGCCCATCACAGAGAATACCAAACAAACGATCGTTTCCTCCACCGAACAGGATATCGCCATCTTTGGTCTCGAACGACCTGTATGGTACAATGGACGCTGTGGGTGTTAGTGTTGGCTTCACGGTCAGTTATCAGAGACTCACGATGAGCTGTGCCCCATCGGCCAGTATCCTTCTCTCCGCTGATCAGACAGCTGCTGGCAATGTTTGCCAGTGTTGCTGTTTGGCAGTCACTGAGTGCAGCATCAATGTGCTGGCCTCTGCCTGTTTTTGCTCTTGCCAAGAGTGCAGCCATGATGCTGTTGCTGGTGTACAGTCCGGTCGTGAGATCTGTTACGGCAACGCCAACCTTCACTGGCGGACCGTCCCGGCTGCCTGTGATGTGCATCAGGCCAAACTCAGCCTCTACCATGACATCGTATCCTGCTCTCTGAGAGTATGGGCCGTTCTGCCCGTATCCGGTTATGGAAGCGTAGATGAGGCTCGGGTTAATCTGGCGAATCGTTTCGTAGTCCATGCCATACTTCTTCAAAGCACCCGGGATGTAGTTTTCTACGAGAATGTCGCATGTTGCCGCAAGCTTGTGGAGGATCTCGACCCCGGCCGGTTCCTGGAATGAGAGGGCCAGCGACTTCTTGTTCCGGTTCACCTACGAACACTTGTTTAGGTACTTAATTCGCAAACAAGAGCTTTCGGAACACGCGATATACCCCAAGAAAATATGCAGACTCTCCGGGGCCTTGCTGGTCCGACTCAAGCTTGTATTTTGCATAGGGAGGTCCCCAGGCCCGTGTATCATCACCACGGACAGGATGCTCGATTTTGATAACCTCGGCTCTGAGTGATGATGTAAGTCGACGCCTCGCAGTGATTGGAGAGGGACATAGTTACCCAAGATCACCAAGAATCTGAGTGCAGTATGGCTACATTGAACTTGTCAATTGAAATATCCGACCACAAGAGCTGCTGCAAGTGCTTACACCAGCGAGAACGCGGGTCATGTCCAACACTTTGTACCCTTGAAGAGGCAGTGACCCGTCGGCGGATGCCGGAGTCTGACCGGTGAGCCATGCTCTATGTAACCGTGGTTGCAGATTGGAAGACAAATTGAATAATGACGAACGGCCTACGGCTCTACCGGAAAGTCGAACGACCATTTTTTCTTAGCCTTTTACCTTGCTCAGATCCGAGATTGTCAAGGTTAGGGAGTTCGCCCGCTCACACATGTTTACGTCCTCAAGACCGGCCCCGCAGTAAAGGGCCCCTAAATCGGGGGCGGGATATGCTACGCATCGTCGCTATTTATGCCTCGGCCCTCTATTAAGAGAGAGGTGAATAGTCCACTCCGGATAATCCAGCAGCCACGGAATGGGCCCAGTGAATGTCCAGTGCTACACTACTTAGATGGTGTGCAGATTGTTAGGCAGCTGGATGGTTAGAACAAACTTCGAGGTGTTGAAGTGGGGCGCCAAGCGCCGTAGACTTAGAGGTTGAATTAAGGAATGCTTTCTCAAGACAGCTGCGTGGCGCAGTGGAAGCGCGGTAAGTTTGCAAAACCAACAGCCTGAAAAAAATCCATTGTACTGACAAACAACAATAGCCGGGCTCATAACCCGGAGGTCCTCCGATCGAAACGGAGCGCAGCTACTCCTAACTTTTTTCTTTTATTTTTCTTTCCTTCTTCATGAGTCTATGATAGCAGGCTATTTTATCAGGTAGGTACTGTTAATACAAATGTACATTTCCGCTCTACCTTTACATTCAATTCATAGGATTCAATTATACTAAGTCCTTAGCTCCGTAAGTGAATAAACGACTCGAACATGGCTCGACAACTGAAACCAGAAGCATCACATGACTTTCACGTGGTTAGCATGGCTTGACTGACCCGCCTTGCCTCTCACAGCTGTTCATACACTTGTCACCTCACTCGTCTATTGTTGGGTACATCCGCCAAAACAACATTTGAGACACTGCAGACGTTATCAGGCGGGAACTTGATAGGTCGTCACGATAGGTGTGAGGTGCATTGGGCTGCTCAGCGCGATGGTGCAGGTAATTGACCTGACAATCCGAAGTTTCAGAGGACCGTAGAGAAAGCTGACGCATCCAACCTTGGTAGACACGAACAGAGGTATTGCATGTAATCCCATGAATGAACACACATTCGGCCGAATTTATGAGGAGTCAAATCCATGTTGTGACGATGGCAGATCCGGCTGAGCAGACCTTCACTACGGCAGTTCCACCTGCCGCGCCAGCAGAATGTTCAGCGACCCCAGCATCGAGTCCCGCGCAGGCTGTAGTTGCCGCTCCACCACGGCCTACATCTACACCAGATCCAATGCCTCCTACCAGTTCGGCATCTCAATCGCCGTCAATTTCTCGACCCGGCCTCTACGTGCCCCAATTTAGTGCTGCCACCCAGATGATTCTGAAGCGCATGAAGAACGAGGCCGCTGGTCTTGCTTCGGGACTATCCGCTGTCAAATCGTCACAACCCGAGATCAAATCCGAATTCAAACCATCCGAATATGAGGACGTTAAGCGTCGAGTCATTATGGGAATGAGCACATCGGCTTCAATGACGCTCCAGATGCCGGCAGCGCCACGTCCCACACCACCACCACCACCAACTTATGTTCCCGAAGCGCATGTTGGCTACCAGGCATCGACGACCTCATCCCGTCCCAAGATGGCAAGTGGAGCTGCCGGCCTAAGTGCAATCAGGAGAGTCACTCTGGGCCTAACCGCATCAGGGCGGCCTATCGCACCCAGGCCACCGCAACCGAGCACGCCAACTCTGGCCGAGCCGAAAGAAAAGAAGTCCAAGGCAGCGTCGGCGCCCAAGGCAGGGACGAAGCGCAAGCGCGGCGCACCAAGAGGACAGGACGATGACAGCAGCAGCCTGTCGAGCCTGTCAGGCTCCTCCGACAATGAGGACGGTGGCGGCGATAAACCATCCACGCCGTCTGCCCCTCCAATCTTGACCAAATCCGGGCGCCACGTTCAGAAGCCTACCACCTACAATCCGGCCGAGATGGAGTCGGCGAGCGCCAAGAAACGCGTTCACTACAGCAAGGTGCGCACGGCAGAGCAGGCACTCTGCAAAAGGTGCACGCGCATGCACAGCCCGGCCAGCAACCAAATGGTCTTCTGCGACGGGTGCAACGAGGGCTGGCACCAGATGTGTCATGATCCGTGGATAGACGACGAAGTCGTGAAGGATACGAACAAGGCGTGGTTCTGTGCGACGTGTCAGGCCAAGCGGGACCGTCACTACGCGAGCACTAATAATACTACCACTAATCACCCGCCAAAGAGGCAGAAGGTCGCTGTGGTGAGGGAGAGTTGGGCCGACCGCACGCAGCAGCAGAAGAGAGCATATCTATCCACGTTGCCGCAGCAGGAGTTGGTAGGGCTGCTGATGTACAGTCTCGAGATCCATCCGGACCTGCCCATATTCCCAGGTTCGGCAGACTCCGCAACAACGCCGTCGACGCCTGGAACCCCACAGACGCCATCGGATGGCCATAGCAATGGTAGGAAGGCCGGACGAGGCCAGAAAGGCGTCAAAGGAGCACCGGCACCACAACAGCAACATCAAGATGACGACGAGGAGGTCGATCCTTTTGAGCCGCCGTGGCCCAAGCCCGGCCGCGGACTGTACAATCTGCTGCCACCCGAGGAGGACGACGACTTCCTTGCCGACGACAACGACTTCGAGGCGTTCAGCGTCATCGTCTACGATGAGAAGGGCAGGAAGATCGAGGAGAATGGTATCAAGGTCGTATTCTCGTAGGGAGAGCCTGGCACGCGTGAGGGTCCGCGAAAGACGCGGTCGAACCGTTAAGAGTGGTCTTATACCCCTTGGTATTTGTATACGGTATTGATAGAGGTCAGTTCAAACGAAAGTTGGGTACGTTGGTCGACGAGAAAACATCTAAACACCCTAGCGGCTATACTACCAAACGAGTATCAAGCTCTTTGTTTTCAACACAAGCATGTGGACCCCAAGTACATATGATCTAGTCCCAAAGCTCGGAGCCAAGATTCACCGCTATGACACCAGTCTCTGATAACAAAATGTAGGCATCGCCTGCCCAGCATCTGCTGTCCCGCCTGTCCGCTACCTATCAAAGGTCGCGAGACAGATTTGCAATCTTGTTTCGTCTCCATTATGCAGACTGGATCGTTATCGGTATGTTTTGCTAGTTTTCTTCGCCTCTCCAAGGGAAGGTCTCCAATGGCGCTTGCCATAATGCTGAGATCAACATAACCCCCATAGTGGCAAAGTAAGGTTTAATCTGCGGCCCAAATGGGCCAGTGGACGTTGCCAACGCCCCTCAGAAGCACCTGGACAACGCGCTGTGGCTCAGACTTGCCTTTTGTGCCTCATGGTCGGGACGAAGCAGACCGTCGGCTGAGACAGCAAAGGGTTTCTGCCCGCGACAGGAACTGCACAGTTGCTGACATCAGCCCTCGTCAGTTCGGAGCCTTCGACTAGGAAGTATCTGTTGATTGTCATCATCGCAGCAGCGCGCTGCCCAGGTCCGCCAGCATGATTTCCGTGCGGGGTCCCGTTTGTCACCCGGAGAGTTCAAGAGATCAGCATGGTTCCCTTGACCCGGCCACTCTCCATCTTGGCTGTCCTTGAACCAAACTGAATCTGTCACAATGTTAGTAGCCGAGGATGGCTGTGCTCCCCGTATTATGAGGATGTGTGTGGTCGATCGTGGTTATACGCACTGCTCGCTTCTTCTCCCGAGCAACCTGCTCCATCCCCAATTCCAGCGATAGTAAGCGTAGCACGCGTTTGCCGGCTTCAACCCCCGATATCTCCTCAGCGTTATCGAAGTCACATTTCTCCCACGCTGGAGTTTCGATCGCCCACTTTACCAGCCGTTCATCGAGGAACGGAAACCTGACCTCCTTGCCCCAGTGTGCCATGGCTCTGTCGTCCCTGCCTAGATTGCGCTTTCCCAAACGACCAACGTCGAGCTTGAGCTCGTCGATGAGTCCGGGATATCCTGCCCTCTCGAACGCCGACGGATGTCGCACGTATCCGCCAAATAGCTCATCGGCACCTAGGCCAGAGAGCAAGACACGCGCCGGCGTTGTGTACACGACTGCTGAGATATCAGGGTTGGGGCCTTCGTAGCAGAAGCCCTGCCCACGGGCGGCAAAATACAGTGCACATGCAATCGAAAGATCCATCTCCGTATTATGGGGATATATCAGAGATATGATCTGGGCTCGGTGGGCACAAGTCTCGGTATACGGAACATTGACCTGTGGTGAATGTCAGCATACACCCAGCCGCGGCGGCCGAAGTGAGATAAGAGTACTAACCGCAACGAAGCGAAACACCCTTCCGGGGCAGACGCTCTGAAGCTCTGCATATGCTTTGCGCCCAGTTATGCGATCCGGGCAAGCCTCGTACACGTCCACCGGCGCACCCTTGGCCTGCTTCTGCAACTGTGCTGCAACGCGAGGGTTTTCAAAGGCAACGTTGAGAAGATCCACGGCCTGGTCTGGAGGTAAAAGGTCATGGCTCAACCTTGCAAGCACGGTGCAGTCAAGTCCGCCTGAGAATAGCACTGCTACTCTCGTGTTCGCTGCAGATCCATTGACAGGGGGTTCTGGGACGTTAAGCACGCGCAGACTGAGAGAAGCGGCTAACTGTTCCCTTAGTGAGCTGACAGCTGGTGAAGTAGACAAGAGAGCGGTGTTTCCTGTGGGCAAGGCTGTGTTGAATCTGCCAATGCTTGATACCTGGAATGGTGAGTTTGACAGGCAGGTCAACATCGACTGTGACCACAGGAAGACTCACGAATTCAGCTGCAGTTCCCGGCAGCCATTCATGGCGGGATGGAGGTGCGTAAGGCGACGAGAACATATCCTCATGGAAAGCCAGAGAGTAGACCCCATCAGCTTCGACCTCGTTCCACTTGTCCTCGCAGGTCTCAGCAACACTAGAAATCACGAGAGAGCTCTCGGTGTCGTCGTGGCACATCAATAGCGACCGCCTGCCAAGACGATCCCTTCCAAAGTAGAGGGTCTTTGACGGCGCATCGAAGTAGACAAAAGCAAACGGCCCTTCGATAGACCTCAGAGCTTCGAGAATAGCATCGCTAGCTCCGTTTCTGGAGCTCGCATTGGAAAGCAGCGCAAAGACGGCTTCGCCATCGTTGCCCTGTACCGTACGGCCGCCGATTCTCCAAGCTTCACCGTTCCAGCAGAGAACCGAGCCTGACGGCTGTTCTTGGAACGGCTGCTTTGTGACATGATCGCCGCGAAGCGAAAGGACGGTTGATGTGAACGTTAGGAACGCGTCATCGTTGTCGGTGTTAGGGGCTTTGAGACGGGTCGTGACCTGTCCAAAATGGTCCGGCCCGCGGTTACAGAGACAATGATGAAGGAAAGCTGGAAGCGCGTCGGTACCAGCGCTGCGACGGATGGCAGCGTGAATACCGCACATAGTCCCGTGGTTGGAGTTTGAACTTGGAGTTGAGCTGGAACAGCTGGGCTGACTTCAAAATCTTGCAAGGATTATCGATGTCCCCACAGTCTCATAGTGAAGTTGGTGGGGCATTGTTGAACTTCTATGTGTATCTCAACTACACCGAGCTCGAGGTTGGATTGTG